GTACTCAGGAATAGCCCCAGGAACAGTAGCACCAGAACAGTAGCAGGAACAGTAGCCCCAGGAATAATAACACCAGGAACACCCAGAAAGTAGCACAGAGAACAGTAGCACCAGGAACAGTAGCCCCAGAACATAACACCAGGAACAGTAGCACCAGAACAGTAACGAATAGTAGCCCAGGAACAGTAGCACCAGGAACAGTAGCCCCAGGAACAGTAGCATCAGGAACAGTAGCACCAGAACAGTAGCCCCAGGAACAGTAACCAGGAACAGTAGCACCAGGAACAGTAGCCTAGGCAGTAGCACCAGGAACAGTAACACCAGGAACAGTAGCCCCAGGAACAGTAGCACCAGGAACAGTAGCACCAGGAACAGTAGCACCAGAACAGTAGCATCTGGAACAATAACACCAGGAACAGTAGCACCAGGAACAGTAGCACCAGGAACAGTAGCACCAGGAACAACACCAGGAAGAAAAATGAACAATAACCCCAGGAACAGTAGACCAGGAACAGTAGCACCAGGAACAGTAGCACCAGGAACAGTAGCATCTGGAACAATAACACCAGGAACAGTAGCACCAGGAACAGTAGCATCAGGAACAGTAGCACCAGAACAGTAGCACCAGGAACAGTAGCATCAGAACATAGCATCAGGAACAATAACACCAGGAACAGTAGCACCAGGAACAGTAGCACCAGGAACAGTAGCATCAGGAACAGTAGCACCAGGAACATAGCATCAGGAACAATAACACCAGGAACAGTAGCACCAGGAACAGTAGCACCAGGAACAGTAGCACCAGGAACAGTAGCATCAGGAACAATAACACCAGGAACAGTAGCACCAGGAACAGTAGCACCAGGAACAATAACACCAGGAACAGTAGCACCAGGGCCCTGAAGACACCTCAGGGACAGTCTGTATGATAAATTGAGGGTCACTGGGCATCACTTTCTTCGGCACCGTAATTGTTCTGTCAGGTCTGTACTTGATACTCTGTCCGTCTGTCTGTCTGTCTGTCTCTGTCTGTCTGTCTGTCTGTCTGTCTCTGTCTGTAAGTCTCTATGTAATAATAATAATAATAACAAAATAACAACAACAAGTGAATATAAATAACAAATAAAACTAACCAAGAGATAAAAACACGAACCAAATCTCTTTACAGAATTGATACTACTACAGTTCAAACGCTATAGCTTAGGGTGCGTGACCTCTCTACCTGTAGGTCAAAGGTCATAGGTTAAACTGATAGGTCTCTATACTGTCAAACACAACGTAACTGTCTAATACATATATACGTACATTACATACATACAAACATTACATACATACATACAAACATACATACATACATACACGTTCAGAAATCTCCTTGACCTTTGACATGACCCTCTGAGAAAGGTCAAGTCAGGTTAGTTCATTGGACGCCTTCTGTGCGGCGCTATTGTCACGTTCTGCACACGGAAGGCTTGACCCAATCACCCTGACCTGGCTTCGTGACCTGATTGTTTATACTGAACGAAGCTGGGTCAAATCGTTTCTCCTGATTGGTCTAGGCGGGGCAGATAGTGCTTGTTGATTGGTCTAGGGTCAAATAGTGTCTCCCGATTGGTCTTGGGTCAGATAAAGTCTTTGGTTGGTCTATGGTAAGATAGTGTTTCCTGATTGGTCCAGGGTCAGATAGTGTTTCTTGATTGGTCTATGATCAGATGATGTATTCTGATTGGTCTAGGGCCAGAGTGTGTCTTGTGATTGGTTGAATAAGTTTGTTGTTAAATGTAAGAGACTGAAAGCAGTTATTCACTGACTGACTGACTGTTTGACTGAATTTTTGACTGTTTGACTGATTATTTGACTGTTTGACTGAATATTTGACTGCATGACTGAATATTTGACTGTTTGACTGATTATTTGACTGTTTGACTGAATATTTGACTGCATGACTGAATAATTGACTGTTTATTTGACTGTTTGACTGAATATTTGGCTGAATATTTGACTGAATATTTGACTGTTTGACTGAATATTTGACTGTTTGACTTGGATATTTGGATAAGCATGTATGTAAACTATACAGGTATGCGGTGTACATAAACCGTGGGAGTATACAGTTTCCTATGTACACACACACACACACACACACAAAACTTGCTCCAGATACTCAAAACTTGTGTCGATATTTTATATAAAAAATTGAGGGGAAAGGGGGAAGTGGAGGGGGGAGGAGAGGGGGAAGGGGGGAGGGGAGGGGGAGAGTTGTTACATGTTAAAAACAAAAAAGCCGGTTTATTTTTTACCTGTGAGGGAGAGTAACAGGAGAAACGACACCGGGTTTCTACATTGTTGAAACTGAAACATTGTACGGAAAATTTTTACTGCCTTGATAGTAGAGTTACGTATACTAGTTTATATATACACAGACAATGTTACAAGTAGACATATGGTTAGGTTAAGTTAAGTTAGGTTAGGTTAAATACTGTTAACAAAATATACTCACACGTGTAACACTCTGCAACACATCTTAAGTTTACTCTAAGAAAAGTAAACAGTTTATTTCACATTTTCTTGACCATTCAGGGACAACAAGAATAAATTAAATCAGTCTTTTAATTTATTTTTTCTAATTTTTGTTTTTTCTTCAAAGTTTGGGCGATAATATTAACCGTAATTTCTTTTCAAATCCTGTAACTTTCAAAATCCTTCATTATTTATAAGTTAATTAATTATCATAGACTAGTATTTTTCTGAGATAGTTCTGGCTGGTGTCACTTGTTTCACTCCCCCTCTCTCTCGTGTTATCTCATCAAGGTGTGGTCTGAGCTCCACACACGACGAAGCCTGCAGGCATACTGAGCTGCGTCACGTGCCGGACCCCCTAACTTTCACCATGCTAACACACCATTGGTCGCTGGGGTTTGCGCGGGAACCTTCTGTATCCTGATTGGCTTACCGTCATGCGCAGTGTTGACAATGTTGGAATACCTTTAAAGACCATTAATTAAGAGATGTTTGTTTATTACCTGTCTGATACCTGTACAATTTGGTATATTCGAGATTTGCTTTGTGGTTAGAGTGTTGTTGTGTTTATGATCTATGATAGTGAATGAGAGAGAGAGAGAGAGAGAGAGAGAGAGAGAGAGAGAGAGAGAGAGAGAGTGAGAGAGAGAGGGCACCCTGACACAGTTCATTATCCAATATTAGGTCAGTTCCCCCTTATCGTAGTTCTCAAAGTTAAAATTAAATTGGTTTCTATCTGGAAAACTATACAAATCTATACACGGAATAAATTTCACAAATTGTAATATAAATTCCACTTATATAAATAAATTTCAATGTATTAGTGATTTACAAATAACACTCTAGTACTCGACTCTATCTACCAATAACAGTCTTGTACTCGACTCTATCCACCAATAATAGTCTAGTACTCGACTCTATCCACCAATAACAGTCTAGTACTCGACTCTATCCACCAATAACAGTCTAGTACTCGACTCTATCCACCAATAACAGTCTAGTACTCGACTCTATCCACCAATAACAGTCTAGTACTCGACTCTATCCACCAATAACATTCTAGTACTCGATCCTAACCACCAATAACATTAAAAACATCACCAAGTACTCGACCCTGACCACCAATAACAGTCTAGTACTCGACCTTATCCACCAATAACAGTCTAGTACTCGACTCTATCCACCAATAACATTCTAGTACTCGACTCTATCCACCAATAACAGTCTGGTACTCGACCTTATCCACCAATAACAGTCTAGTACTCGACTCATCCACCAATAACACTCTAGTACTCGACTCTATCTACCAATAACAGTCTTGTACTCGACTCTATCCACCAATAATAGTCTAGTACTCGACTCTATCCACCAATAACAGTCTAGTACTCGACTCTATCCACCAATAACAGTCTAGTACTCGACTCTATCCACCAATAACAGTCTAGTACTCGACTCTATCCACCAATAACAGTCTAGTACTCGACTCTATCCACCAATAACAGTCTAGTACTCGACTCTATCCACCAATAACAGTCTAGTACTCGACTCTATCCACCAATAATAGTCTAGTACTCGACTCTATCCACCAATAACAGTCTAGTACTCGACTCTATCCACCAATAACAGTCTAGTACTCGACTCTATCCACCAACAACAGTCTAGTACTCGACTCTATCCACCAATAACAGTCTAGTACTCGACTCTATCCACCAATAACAGTCTAGTACTCGACTCTATCCACCAATAACAGTCTAGTATTCGACTCTATCCACCAATAACAGTCTAGTACTCGACCTTATCCACCAATAGCACTTACCAGCGTAAATCATCATTATCCTCGGCTTGTGGCTTCCCTCACTGTAAATACTCCGAGTTCCCGCTACATTACACACTGCTGTAGATCTTCCTGCTGTATAAACATTAAATATAACATGTAGGAGATTTGTCTTTAACCCGAGTTTGTCCAATGACCCGTGAAGGAAAGAAAGAGGGCGGTTTGTGGGCTGTTGGGTGGGTTTGTGGGCTGGTGGGTGGGTTGGTGGGTGGAAGGGAGGGTGTAGGTGGGTGTAGACTGTGTAGTGATATGCTGTGTATGTGTAGTTTAATGACAGGTATTTTGTGTCCATAGGTGTGTACGTACCTTTACCTGCCATCACCTGCCCTTACCTGTCCTCTGCTGCCCTCACCTGTCCTCTGCTGCCCTCACCTGTCCTCTGCTGCCCTCACCTGTCCTCTGCTGCCCTCACCTGTCCTCTGCTTCATTACCCTATTACCTGTTGTGGCCTGAAAAATAATCCCCCCTCCACACACACATACACACACACACACACACACACACACCACAAATGACCTCCTCTTCTTGCTAACTATTGACCTAAGTGTTTCAGAGTAGGACCAGCTACTATGGTTTATACAGCAGGTCTTCCGGGAACTCCACACCCAGGTAATGACCCTCTGTGTGTGTGTATGTTGTATGTGTGTGTGTGTGTGTGTGTGTGAGTGTGTGTGTGTGACTGTCTATATCTGTCTATTCTACTGTGTACGTACTTCAAGAGAGTCATTTAGACCCCCTCCCCCCTCCCGTCCTTAAACACTCATTACCCCGTCAGTGTGATTTACAGGTATTATTCAACATTACCTAAAAGAAGGAACTTCACCTCCCTAAACATTACCCGGAGATAAACATTCTAGATATCCTGACTCTGTGTTTACACCTGGGAGACTAGATCCTCTTTCCTTTACTCAGCTCCTAATTGATGATAGGAGAGTAGTGCTGCCTGCTCTAGAGGGAGGGTAAACAGTGGTGCTAAGGATCTCAAAGTAATGAACTGTGTTGGTGATGGAAGATGAGAGAGGCCTGTGGATAATCTTTCTCCTTCCCCACCTCCCCTCTCCCACCCTACCCTTCACCTCTCCCCTGCCTTCCCCGGTTGATGAATATAGGTGGATTATTACAGGTAGATAATTACAGGTAGGTTACTACAGGTAGGTTATTACAGGTAGATTATTGCAGGTAGATAATTACAGGTAGGTTATTACAGGTAGGTTATTACAGGTAGATTATTACAGGTAGATAATTACAGGTAGATCATCACAGGTAAATCGTCACAGGTAAACACAGGTAGGCCATTAGAGAAGCACCTAAACCTGCATCTCAATAATGAAATAATCTGATAGAGAATTACTGATCACACGGCACACCTCCCCCTCACCGCCCTCTCACCTCCCGCTCACCTCCCCTCACCGCCCTCTCACCTCCCCCTCACCTCCCCTCACCGCCCCCTCACCTCCCCTCCTCCCCTCACCACCCCCCCCCACTGCCTCACTCTGTGGCTCTCACTGAATTAAACGCCAGGAGCCATTTATTGAGGAATATATACGATAAATTAGGGAAACATTGGCTAACCTAACCTAATCTAACCTAACCTAACCTAAACTAACATAACATAACATAACCTAACTAAAAAAATGGTCCATATAGTAATCTAAAAAATGGTGTAAGGAAAGGGTGTAAGGGGGGGAAGGTGTAAGGTGGAGGGTGTAAAGGGGGACGGTGTAAAGGGGGAAGGTGTAGTGTAAGGGCAGGGTGTAAGCAGGGTATAAGCAGGGTATAAGAGAGAGAAATATTAATAATGTTTCATGACGGAAATTATGTACAGAAAACTAAACCAAAATGAACGTAAAAAAAAAAGTAACAATTTCTTTTTCATTTTTTTTTACAAATTTAATAGACTAAGGTGGAAAAAATAAGTGAGATTTACGTACGAAATACAATTATTATTATTTTTACCTCAGAAACAAAAAAAGAAAATTTAATTCCTGTAAAAAAATAAAAACTCAAATTCGTGGGGTTTTTTTTACAGTAAATTGCTACAGAGGGAATAATTATTTACCTGTAGTGTAAAAAAGGGATACAAAATTTACCACTAAAGCATTAAATGAACAGGTGTTACAGATTAATTAGCGAGGTAGGAGACAATTAACACCTGCCAAAGTGTCGTGTTCGGTATACAGGTGAACAAGGTGAGGTCATACTGATTGATGTTCACTAACTGTTCATCTACCTGCCCGTACCTGCATAACAAGAGCTGATTTTTCAGGTAGAGTCCTAATTAAACGCAATGCTATGTCGAGGGTACTAATGACCACGGGATATACACAAGTATACACAAATATACACAGGTATACACACATACACACAGGTATACACACAGATATACTCAAATACACACAAATACACACAAACACGAGCTCCTCAGTGTTTGCACAACATTCATACTTCCCAAGCTCACCTATGCCTCCCCCACCTGGTCTTCCTCCCTAAATGCCACACAACGTAAACACCTAGAAAAAGTGCAAAAGAGGGCATGCAAGATTATTCTCTCCCCTTCCTACTCCACATATCAAGAGGCGCTCAACACACTGACCCTTTCGACTCTCACTGACCATCACCACGACCTCATCTGCAAATTTGGTAAGCTTCTACCATCCCCGACACCGGCTCCTACTACCTGAGATCCCTAGCCGAGAATTGCTGACACCACAACCGCATCCAGCCCATACGTGCGAACTGATCGCTATAAGAACAGCCCAGTCCCAACCATTGTAAAATTATCAATAACTTGTAATAAATCAGTGTATTCACTCCCAGTAAACACTGCTCCTTACACTGTCACTATGTTGAAATGAACTGTAGTTTGAACTTTTCCCCATCTAGTTATTATATGTCTTATTTGTGTCACTTATGTTACTTGTATATTATTTGTAATTCGTAACCCATTCCCCAAATATGTAACTGTATATTTTCAGCCTTCTGGCTGCCAAGCTCTTTCAATAAACCGTTAATTATTATTATTATTATTATTATTAAACACACACAAATACACAAAAACACACACATACACACAAACATATGAAAACACACACAAACACACACAAACACACCCAAACACACCCAAATACACCCAAACACACACCTCTATTTACCTGCATGCTCAACGTCTAGTAATGAGAATATAAGGGAACTCCCGCCTCAAGAACTATGCCCTGTATGTGTCTATTGCAGCGTCCCAGTGCCAAACTTTTATTACGTTAAGAGGAGACTCAGCAATATCTTCATCGTATTTGGCACGTCCATGGTATGTGGGGGGTTATGGGGGGGTGTGTGGGGGGTGTGGGGGGGTGTTGTAGGTAGGGGGGGGATTGTGTGTGTGTGTGTGTGTGTGTGTTTGTGTGGTGTTTAAGCCGTGTGAATTCCTTGCCGTTTACACCAGGATGTTATTGCTACGTAAAGGGAATTTGAGGAAGCAGAAGAC